CCTATGGCTTGCTAGGGCAGCCTAGAATAGGCTAATAGTTTAGAATTAAATAAAATCTTGAATTAAATTAATTTTAATGGTGGTAATCTGGAATGACCAAGAATTTGATACTTGTTACAACCATACAACACATGCACTGTATGTTTAAATTCATGTACAGATCAGAAAATATTAAGTGGTTTGAACAGACATCTGTATAAGTGTCAGTGACTTAACACTGCACACCAATCCCTGTGAAGCTAAGCCTATTTTTGTACAAAAAAGGTGCCGTTTGGCTTTTATAAACCCTCCCTAATCTTAAATTATCATATTCTTATTCAATGTTATGATGGTATAATATTACAGTAAGTTGTTAACTTTCCTTTTAAGACACTTTCTCATACATGTGCCTAACCTGAAATGATACACTGATTTCAGGATGATTTGATTCATTTGCCAGGAGCATCGCGAGGACATTGGCACCTTTGTTCAACAGGCACATCTTTCATCACCTGTTCTGCATGTCGTCCACAACCTAAACAGCAAATGGAAAGATTATGGCACCGTGAAACAAATGATGGAAAAGAGAATCAAAAATTTAAGTGCGACATGTTTATAATAATAATAATAATAATAATTTATGTACCTTTTCGCAATTTCAGTTAGAAAGTATTTCAGTGGTTTTATTTTCACAATTTTAATAGGGAAATATGAAAAAAAAAATTAAATTTTGTAATTCAAGCATTCTTAGCTTCCTTTGCAAAAAAAAAAATGCTTTGAAGGTTTTAATTTTTTTAGAAATTCTTTGCAAATTAATATATTTCACAGCACAAGATGATCTAAAATATGGACCTTACCGACAGTGAGACCAGTTAATAATTATTTGCGTATAATATTTTGTTGATACACATTCTGCATGTGTGGTTGTTATGACATTTGTAACATCTTAATCATTTTTTCTGTGAATTGACTTTTCTATTATATGGGTGTATAATATTAAACTTTGAGTGTATAATAATATTTTGTGAGGATTTTAATTCCTGGGTCTTTCATTTCACAATTGTTTTACAATATTGCAAAAAATGTAAATAAAAAGTGTAAATAAAAAGTGTAAATAAATATTTTAACCTTGAACGTAAAGAGTATGTCAAATATCTAGGGGTCATGATTGACAACCATCTTTTGTGGAAACATCATATTAACTATGTTGCGCTAAAAATTAGTAGAAACATCGGGATATTATCTAAATTAAGACATTTTGTTCCTCCTAAGACACTTCGGGATTTACAATTCTTTAATCTTCCCTTATCTTTCTTATGGCCTCGTTGCCTGGGGCCAGGCTGCAAAAACTCATTTGGAGAAACTCCTTACATTACAAAAGAGAGCTGTGCGCCTAATTAACTTCGCACCTTTCCGCTCTCATGCCGTCCCTTACTTTCTTCACTCTAATATTATGCCTATTACAATGCTCTATTTTAAGCTTTCTTCGATGTTAATGTTTGATGTTTACAATAACACTGCCCCTCATAATATTTCACATCTCTTTATTCCTACTCAACAAATCCACTCTTACAGCACTCGCTCCTCCTCTTCTGGAAATTATTACATTAGCCACTCTAGACTAAATCAGAAAAATGATTCGTTTTCTATTATGGGAGCCAAAATTTGGAATAGTATACCTGAAAATTTACGAAATTCTTCAAAATCTCTCTTTAAGGAAAAAGTTCATACAATTCTGTTGAAAATATTTGAAGTTCAGGATAGATATGCTGACCTAAACACGATAATCTCCGATTTTAAAAAATATTAGCCCCCGCTTATCTAAATAGCTGCCTCGATTTTCTTATCTCAATTTCTCTCGTGACTGACCTTTTTTATTATAAATATGGTACTTTTTCACTTCAACTATTCGTAATAAATCTTAAGCCGTCTACACACCACCTGCCTCGATTAGCCTTGCTATTTGCAGGTGGTGTGATATTTGTATATTTAATGTAAGAAATAAAGATGTTGTTGTTGTTGTTGTAAATGTGAAATTATGGATCAGTCAAATTAAGAACCAATAAGGTACCCTTTACATTCTTTATTCCTTGCGATCTACCACCTTATTACAGAGGACTTGCTCTCATCAGGCTTCATAAGCAGAGCAATAGAAGGTCTGATCTGGAGGTGGTGGGATCAAATACCACTGAGGTCAAAAGATTTCTTCAGTCTTTTTAATGTTTCATCTCCTATTCCCTTTCTTAGGGCTATGCTCAGTGGATTTATGGGTTATTTTAAGCACTTGAACAGAGCATAAATAAATTTCTGTGGAGGCATGTGTGGCTGAACAGTGAACACCTCAAACTCTGGATCTGGAGGTCTGGGATTCAAGCCTTGTCTGACACGTTGTTTCCTTAATTAGACAAGGGACTTTACTACTTTGCGTATTTTCCACTGATTTTGTTACAAATAGTTATTGAGAGTCCTGGAACTTATCTTGTGAAAATCATGAGTCCCAGTCCAGAATAATGAGTCCCAGTTAAAAAAAAACAAAAAACAAAAAAAAACAAGTCCGCAATTTAAAATGCTTGGGACTTTGTGTAACCAGACAGTTAATCTGAAGACAGACTCCAAAACTCTATAATACAGTACACTGAAATTAAAATATAGTCCCACTATTTTAAAGGACAAAAAAGGCTAAAAGAAATATGCATTGTTAAACAACAGTCATAATAACTGCCACAGAAATAACTCGAATGGGATATTTCTACAATTACACACGTTCATGAGATGATTCGATCGATCGATCTTTGCGTTTTACGGGACACAATGCCATGAATTATTTTGCGTCTTTGGGGATTTTTATGTGTCACGGTCGCAGGACGCAGGGGTAACAAAAACACTGATTTTCAGTTTGGTTTTCGATATTGCACTACCTACATGCAGCCCATTCGCCAAGGAACGCTACAGCAAGTTCCAAATGATCCCCACCTTCCCATATTTCTCGACGGTTTGACGTATAATTTTAAAGTAAAAAAGCTGCTTACCTTTCCAAGTCTTCTTCCGACAATTATCACAGGTCACTTGAAAGCACATATTGCTAAGCCTGGAAATTAAACCCGAGCAGAACGATAAAGAACAGAGTACAAATACAGTAGTACAATCTCTGTTCGTCCTACTTATCACGAGTCACTGACCTCGAAATGATGTAACAATTTGTAAGAACGTAAACAATGGACTTGCTTCGTCATTACCATTATTGAGCCCGCGTCGATTCTAACTACTGCTGACCGATTACGACCGCGCAAGTCGTCCACGCAAGGGAATGATGCTCTCGGAACCCCCCAAATGTTCGCCCAAAAAACCGAGCGCATTGAAGCTTTTCGATACAAAAAGATAGTAAACTGACCCTCAAAGAGTAGACTGAAAAAACAGTCGGTTTTCATCTCAAATTGGTTTATCAGGGCGCGAAGCGCTCGACTCTCACTCTCACTCTCACGCCTTTTTCACTCTCGATCCAGGACTTTCCCTTGACCGCTCGCGTGTGACTTGACCTACTCGACCTACAAAATACGGGCTGTTTTGGATTCTAATCAAACTCGGTAGAGAGAAGATATAAAAGCAAGAAAATATACTGCATAATAAATGAGATGAAGTTTATGAAAGAGTTATTAGTCTGCTACACAACCGTTTTTAGTGTCGTCACGCAACGCTCCTTAGTAGGGAGGAGCGTACAGAAAGACTTTCAGATTGAAAAAAACCCGGGGAAACAAACGAACGCTGGATAATTACCATACGAGCGCTGCAGTGGTTCACTCTTTCTCTCCCTTCCTAGCGCAGCATCCGGCCAGGGTAGATAAAAGCGGAGGTCGCGCTCGAGTTTTTCGCTGACAAGTTATTATATAAAGTTTTCAACTGATTACAGGCGCAACTCCAAGTAGATTTACGTACGGGAACTTCGACTTTAACCTTGGCTAAATCTATATACTTAATGGACTAGAATATGTTGTTGACTATTCACCCTAACTGGTTTCTCTTTTCTAACAATAAAAAAGTACAATGGAGCCTCTATTCAACGAACTGCGGTGTAACTAATGATGTTCCTTAGACTTGGTAAACGATTAACGTTCTCGTTTGAGCTCTTCAAATTCCTTGACTTTTGATGACTTTTTTCCATAACCCTTTCAAGTTTTCCATGACCTCACGTTTAGCTGTCACCTTAGAAAATTTTGAAAATTTTCCTTATTTTGATCAACCACAGTTCACCCTGGGGGTGGGGAGGTACTCCCCATAATGGCCTATACGGGAAGGCTCCGCCCAAATGGGGTACATTTTCCAAGCTTCAGGTGTATGAAAGGGTGGGGATTTTACTAGTTGAAGTGTATGAAAGGGTGGGGAGGTAGGGAAAACTGTTATTTTGGTCTGTTAAAAGGCCCAAAAGGGCTAACAGATGCAAAAAGTGGAAAAAGACAATGTATTTAGGGCAGTTTAAAATTTGAAGGGATGCAAAGTTATAACCAAGAAATATGAAAGGGGTAACTTTTATCAAAAGAAGGCATACAAAATGGGTACCTCGTGACACAGTCTCTTTAAGACGTAAAGAAAGACAGGGAGACCATTCCAGTAATGATCTGACTTTCAGGCCCTGGTTGTTCAAACTTTAGATTCCCTTTCACTGGATAAATCACTATCCACTGGATAGTGCTATCCAATGGATAAATCTTAGGGACAACAATCAGTGACCAATTGCTTTATGCAGTGGATAGTGATGTATCCGGTGGATAGCGTTAATCATCTTTTGAAGAATTGGGGCCTTTGGGAATAGTGCTATCCAACGTTTGAACAACGAGGAAAAGGCTGCTACTGCCCGACCTTTTTTTTATGTTTTAATTAATTAACGAATAAAGAATAAGATACTAGTGACATCTGCAATACTATAATACTTTGCTATAGTCACACATGAAAGCTTGTTTTGCTGGTGTTGTCGTCGTTGTCACTACTGCATTTATACCAGGTTATTAAAAAGTGTTTTTTTATTGGCAACAAAATAATAGGAACAACAAATTCCGCACTAACCCTGGGTTATCTTAACCTAGCTTTGAGCAACCCGGCCCTGCAGTTAAAAAAGTCACTTAGCGCCTAAATTTTCCAGACGAAAACAAGTGTTATAAACTACAGCGATCAAAGCCGCATGGACACACAGTTCAAGTTTAAAACGAAACAACCTTTTCCCTAAAACATTTCTGGTTATGTTTTCAGCAGTTTACGAAACCGCATGAACTCTATAAACTTCAACTAAATAATGGTGCATGAAACTTGCTGCTCTTACGGTTTAAAATGCTATTTTAAAAGATCTGGGGAGCTTTAGCAGAGAAACGGCTTTATCAGAAGGCACTGAAATCGTTTTTCTGGCATCACTGTCCTCAAAATCAACATGCCAGACTTGATTACGATCACAAAACAAAACCTTTGGCCTTATGTAAACCTCGCATTAAGCCTAGTGTGCCATCTCATTAACAGAGGCTGGTCAAACTGTTCCGCTTAACAAGGGTAATGAAGGCTATGGGAGCAAAATTGAACTTGGTTATCAACAGACGTCAATGAGCAGCTAATTTTGCTTGCTTTCACTGATCCCTGAATACTCTGACGTACAAAAGGAAATTACAAATATATAACATCATACTGTTATAGATTTACAGAAAAGTTTCAAAGGCAAAGGGTTATGAAATCTTAAAATACAGTGTTCATTAATTAATTTCTTGCTAGCACTGGAAGACCAAATTCATCGACTTGCACCCCATCCTGAAAGAATGAAGCAAAACATGAGAAAGGCTGTTAGGGACAAGGAGAAGAGCCAAGGTTTAGCATAATAGTCCATTTCCGAGTTTTCCCAAGCTATTGTTTCATGCCAAAAGAACTTATTTTCACAACACTTTGGCCGTGAGAGTTTTTGGAACTTGAAAATGGCCTATTCCAACCTTTTTCCCAGGGTCTGGTCTGGGAATTGGAGTGAGCAGCTGTGTACCTGTGTTTTAGTCCCTGATGAGTCTTGCTCCCCTGGTATTGTATCTGATGGCGCCGGAACTTCATCTAAGTATGAAGTGTCTTCATCAAGGGCTAGATCATCACCAAGGGCTTCCAATTCTGAGGAGAAATGAGTTTAAACAGTTTTTTAAGACCTGGTCAAACAAAAGAACCTCATAGTCAGAAAGAGCACACAAAGTCATACATCACCCCATGAAAGGTAATCCGGAAACCAGGGATTTGGAATCGGAAATTCAGCTCAAGGAATCAAGAATCCTTCTAATTTTTTGAGTAGAATCCAGACTCCAAGTTCCACTGACAAAAAATCCGGAATCCAGTACCTGGGATCTGGAATCTTCAGCATGGAATTCAGGATCTAAGACTGTCTTGGATTACCTTATATGGAGCAATTTACAAAAATACCCAAGTTTGATGATAAATGAGCCAAATTGATATTGAACGAGATACAACCATTCAAAAGCTTAAAAGTTGTCTGGACTGTAGCTGTATATTTCTTTGTAAATTTTAGAGATTTTGAATAGCTGTGTCTTGTTTATTATTCGCTTGATAAACACCAAACTTGAGGATTTTGTAAAGCTTGGTGTGCTCTTTCTGACCAGGTGGGTCTTGTTTCAACAACTCCCCTGCAATGAAAGCTCTCCACTAATACTTTTACATAATGTAATCTATTTTAAAGTATCTACATAAACACCAATGAAATACCAGGTGAGCTTTTGCTCAAAAACATATCTTCACACGTGAAAATAACGTTATTTTCACATGTGAAAAGATCATAATGGCTATGGCAGGCTACATAATAAATCGTGCCTTTTGCAGCAAAAACCATTCAGGTGAAATGGTTTGGCATTCATTGGTGTTTATATAATAAATAGAACACTACATGGCCACTTGGAGATACAAAATTTCTCCTGTCATGTTGAAAAATATTTCACTCATTCGCGCTCAAGGAGGAATTTTGTATCTCTGCTCGGCCATGTAATATCCTCTATAACTATTATATGCCTGAAGCCTGAAAAGGGTAACCCTTTTGGGCAGAGCCTCTTTGTATAGGCCATTGTAGGGAGTACCCCCCCCCCCCCAGTTTAGGTTAACCTGGGCAGTGAATGGGCTTTCATTTCATGTACAGTACCTGCTTCAAGATCAGCCTCATCTAGATCATCTGGCATGCCATAAGTCCGGCCTAAAGTCTCTTGAACTTCGTTAGCAATCTCAAGCATATCTGCCATGTCATCTTGAAGGTCCTTTAGGCAAGAATAACAAGTATTATTACATTTCTACACTTTCACTCAACTAAACTGGGACTGTCGTCAGTTGACTATTAGTCAAATGGCCTTGACTAAATTCAAATGTATCCTGATTGTGATACAATTCAGCAAAAATAATTTATTGTAACCTGCCTGGGATACCACAGCATGTTGTGATCAGTGCATGGTGAAAAGTGGCATGACAGGAGGCAGGAAAAAAAACACCAAGCTAGTTTTCACTTTTGTGAATAAACACATAAACACAAACATGGAGCCTCAAGCTAAAAAGCAATGATTTTTGAAGCCATCCAAGAAGAAATATAGCACCTAGTGAAGGAAAAAGATGTGGATAACACAAGGAGTACACTTACTTTGTTAAATCATTTATTTGCAGTTTTGAGAATAAGATTTGTGTTCTGAAGAACTGGCATTGTTTTAAATCACTCTATATTCTTTGTGGCCATTGAAGTGAAAGCCTTTTAAGAGTATAACAAAACACTTAATGTCAGGTCCCGTGGTAAAACAGTTATTTTTGTTTCCCCCTGATACCTGACATTACATGTAAGTGTATAATGTAACAAAGGCAGACTAAAAATACAATGTACAATGTAGATATGAGCAAACAATACGAAGACTGAAAACAAAAGGGCCATACCTCAATTTCATCAAGATTGACTTTCTTATATTCCTTTTTCATGTCTTTTAGTCCTAACTTCATAGCATCAACCTAAAAAATAAGTAGATACAGTCATGCTCAGCCACAATTAACTAGTAAACAACATTAAGCTGACTTTGTGAGTGTTCTTATAGGGCACAATCCATTCAACCAAAATTCTGACCAGTCTGACCGGGAAAAGTGGTCCACCTCAAAAGGTGGACCTGTTGTTTTGAAACTTTTCCGGTTGGACCAAACCGATCCATTGAGTTTTGGACCGAAATTTCCGGAAACTTTGGTAGAATGGATTGCGCCCATAGGCTACACCAGTGGTCAAGATAAGCCTTTCTTGCCACTTGACACTGCTTGTTTTAGTTCATGTAAGAAACCTAATCTTTAACCCTTTCAATCCCAGAGAGAATGATGAAGCCTTGTTACATGTATGTGTTTTTAACTTTTGAGTCTGTGGATGAAATCCTATAGTGTGACCATTCAAACAAAACCTCTTTAGCAGTACTTTCACATGGTACTATTTATTTAGTATGTAGTTTTAACTTTTGAGTCTGTGGATGAAATCCTATGGTGTTACTATTCAAACAAAACCTCTTTAGCAGTACTTTCATATGGTAATATTAATTTAGTAAGTAGTTTTAACTTTTGAGTCTGTGGATGAAATCCTATGGTGTTACCATTCAGATGAAACCTCTTCAGCAGTATTTTCACCGTTTTTCACACGGTACTATTTATTTAGTATGTAGTTCTAACTTTTGAGTCTGTGGATGAAATCTTATAGTGTGACCATTCAAACAAAACCTCTTCAGCTGTACTTTCACATACTGCTATTTATTTAGTATGTAGTTCCAACTTTTGAGTCTGTGGATGAAATCCTATGATGTTACCATTCAAATGAAACCTCTTCAGCAGTACTTTCACATGGTACTATTTATTTAGTATGTTTTTCTAACTTTTGAGTCTGTGGATGAAATCCTATGGTGTTAACATTCAAATGAAACCTCTTCAGCAGTACTTTCACATGGTACTACTTATTTAGTATGTAGTTCTAACTTTGGAGTCTGTGGATGAAATCCTGTTGTGTGACCATCTAAATGAAACCTCTTCTGGAGTACTTTCACAAGGTACCATACATGTATGTTGCAGGATTTTACGTAGTATACATGTGCAGCTGTACCTTATACATGAACATGTAGGATCCTAATAGGATTTAACAGGACCTTAACAGGTACAGCTATACCTACATGAACACTCAATAGCATATAATATAGGATCCTGATAGGATCTTAAAGGATCTTAAGAGGATCATAATAGTATGTCTTAAAATGGACCCTACAGCTAATCAAGTTGAGTAGGATTCTATTAATTAAATAAGATCCTATACTAGTTAGTCCGAGAAAGGATCCCATCAGATCTTGTAAGACTCAGGTTAGGATCCTGTGGTTTTGATATTGCAGGATCCGAACTACATGTAGGATGCTATAGGATCTTAAACAGGATCTTGGACAGGATTTTGCAGGATCTAAAGTTAGGATTCTGTAAAGATCCATTCAAAACCTTACTTAGGATCCTGAGCAGGACATATTTTTACCAGGGTACAGTGTATCTTGAACACTAGTTCTTTAACATTACACTGTACATGTATCTGTATAAAAACAATAATATACTCACTGTAGTTTTCGTATCTTTCAATGTTTGCGTTGCAAAATTTGCCTGCTCCATGTTAAAGGATTGCTGTCGGAGATTTTCCAGTTGATTTTCATACCTGAAAGGTATTGAAGGTTAACAAAAGCTTACATACTAACTTTCATGGGTTACAGACAAACAACAGTCAAGCCTCTCATTATGGATGCCTTCATAATAATAATATTGCTTAAGCAACCACAACAACAACAATGCCAAAGTCAAGACACAATTGGTTTTATGAGCAAAACAACAACCCTGCATGTGCTTTACACTTTTTAGTATTATTTTTTGGATGTCCATTGCACAACCACAATGTGAAACCCTCTTATGTGATATTTCATACAAGACTTAGAATTTAGTTGTTTCCCTTTCTCTTTTTGAACCTGGATAAAGTCCTTAAAAATTGAACTCCAGGAAAAATCAATAAAAACATTTGACAAATTGAGCGGGTCCAAATAGACACGATAAAGTTTGAAACGATGCAAATTCATTTTTTAGCGACATTGCTTTTGTCATCATCATTGCTTTAGTTCCCTATTTTTATTATGACAACCCTCTAACTGGACAGTTATCATAGTGCTAAAGATAACAAACCCCATATGGACCCAACCTTTATAACACAGACACCTCTATGATACATGTACATGTACACACTTGGCTCTGCACGTCTTTCTCGAGTTTGTAACCACATTATACAAAGAGTTGTGGCTGTAATCTGGCTGCATTTTTCTTTCATAGCCATCAAACTCATAATGTCTTCAGTTTAATGTCTCAAAAACGTTTCCTCTTACACCTACAGCTGTACAACTGTACCTTTGAAATGGAATTACAAGTATAAACATCATGGATAAACATACACTGTAGCACACATGTACAGGTGATTATCAGTGCTTTCAATACAACGTATACATGTACACGGTTGGCAGTCAGTGAAAGTATTAAAACGTTATTTTTTTCCACCTTGTGGAGTCAGACAAAGACTAGTTACTCCACTCAAACCAGCTGCCTACATAAAACTTTATTGAAACCCCTGATTACAACAGTATGTCCACTTTATCTTCTGTCTGTGTACAGTTGGTTGTACACATGCTTTTGCTGGTAGCAACACTGGGATTTAGGTCAGAGTGAAATGCTTTTAGTTGTTGATTTTGTTTTAAGTTTAGTTTGTTATTGGGAGCATTAAACCCTTCATAACCCACTCCTTTTGAATTTCACACCCTCTGGCAAAATCGGTTTACTTAAGGCTGCTTTTTTTCATTTTCTTACATGTAAGGTTTATATACATGCACATGTATTTAAATGGACCTCTAACCTGCATTTCTACTTTGTAATATTGCATTGCTCTTATTGATCTGACGGGTGCAAAGGGTGCAAAGAAAGTCCGTTTTACAGCTTGCCATTCTGGCAAGCTGTAGCTAGCATGAACTAGCCCAAAATTCATTTTAACTAGCCCCAAAAGCATTTTGATGAACAGGATTGATTACACAGTTTTTATGTAATTTGAATTCCTGAAAAAACTTCACTTGCTTGTTGGGCTAGTTAAAAACCGAATTCAATAGCCTGATAGCAAAATCCACTAGTCTCAAGCTATCGGACAGTACATTCTTCGCACGCTGACTTACACCAAGCCTTTCTTAGTGCTCTGTAACTATTTTTTGCATAGATCACTTATTTTGTTGCTTTTGCTGTAACTTTAATTTGTGTAATCAACTCGATTGCTGGCGGCTTCCTCCATGTACCATTGGTTTTTATAAAAGAAATATTTTCTATTAGAATATTTAGCATTAAGTAACTTACTGCTTTTTCTGTTTCAAAACTCTCATTGCTCTTTGCTTGATCATATTCTAAAAGAAAGGAAAAACACATTGGAGTGATAAAAAAATTAATAAACAGACAGACATTAAGTACGAGACTCTGTATACAAGGTATTTCCAACATCATTCAATCACAATTCCCATAATTGCCATTGATGAAGAGATGATCTTAGAAAGTAGAGCAAACATCACATTGCCATCTCAATTAAGTTTGATAATGACTGCAAATAAATCTGCCAAAAAGTGTGTTGCACGCTCAGAGTTATTTTCTAGTTTCAGTCATTGTTGTGGTTGTGATGAGCTTACTGGTAGCATTACCATGCCAAACAATTCTTAATATGTGACAATTTCGCCTGAAAAACTGATGATTTGATGGAAAATGTGTGACAAAATTGATGTCTGCAGGCAACCATACATAGGATCAACTACTATTACACTCTGCATCATTTACCATTCTGCAGACAGCAGCTTATATGTCTCCTTCCTGTTTATAAGCAAATCTAATAATAAGATCTGCTTATAAACAGGAAGGAGGCTTACAATTACTATTGTGTTTACAGAAACTTTATTCCAGCTATAAGCCCCTCTGGTTATCCATCTGCATGTATTTATATAAATTTGTTTTTTCATGTTCTGATTACAGTTTGTTGGGGCTTTGCATTCTTCCTTAGAAAAAAATAAGGGAAATTTAATCTATAAATAGCGCTGAGGTTTCTATCAAAGCAAAGTCACTGCCAGCCTTGCTTTCACTTAAAGTCTAGTTGGCTTAGCATGCGCTGTATGCTACGCTGTACAACTGGCAATTAGCCCATGTTAACTGCCTTGGAACATAAACCAAAGTTATCTCAGGGTTAAAAAAAAAATATGACCTTGTTTGTGTTGAGAAAACTTTACTTGGCTTGAAATTATTGTATTCCTGGCCCTGGCTGTTGAAAAGTTGGATAGCGCTATCCACTGGACAAATTGCTATCCAGCGGATAAGTAGTACAAAAACCAATTGCATTATCCACTGGATAGTAATTTGTCCTTATGGACAGCGCTATACACCTTTTGAATAACTGGAGCCTCGGGGCTTAAGTGTCGACCATCTTGAACCAAAAAAAGACTTCTTCTGAATGGTACAATAATTCTACTGCTAAAAGCACCAGCTTGATACGACTGTATTTTAATACAAGATAACAAGAGATAATACATGGATTTCAGAATTTATAGTGGCCAAAAAGACATAATTTTTCAGCACTATTTTTAAAAGCTCAAGAAATGCCTTGTATCCTGATACAAACCTTTGAGGGTCCATCTCTCATTTTTTTCATCTGATCCTTGTATTTCATGAGCTCTGCATCAAGTTTACTAATCTTTTTCTCTATAGACTCCCCTCGACTGTCCACCTAAGTAACAGAAAAAAGTTTACTGAAAGATGCAAGGGAATCTGCAGTCACTTACTCTGGTCTGTTGTGTTCCACGATGTACCACGACTTACGTTAGAAATGGCATCCGTGAGATTCGGTGGCGGTTCCTTTGGCTTTCCTCGCCCAAATAATCTGTTCATTTTGGAGCAACTGAATGATTTTTTTACTTTCTTGAAGGGAAAAGCTTCTACTTCAGGAACTGTTTTCGTTCTAGCCTCACAAAATTTGCTAGGCTCTTCATTCGATCACGTGATCTTCCAAATATAGATTTCCAGCGCAAATGACGTCAAGTGCTTGATTTTGGTCGTGACGAGACAGCTGACTTGACAATTTTGCATAATCGGCTTCATGATTCGGGTAAATTATATTGGTAAGGACACGGTTGCTGTCCAGTGTACGGTTCGTTCGTGGAAATACTGTTTTATATATTTATTTATTGTATGAAGTTACAATTTTTAACTTCTTTAAAGAACATATATTTATATATATTTTTTAATTTCCTCTGCGCGTAGGGTGAATTTCATCCGTCTGGACTCCTTCGCACGCTAAGTCACACAGCTATTCAGGGGCGTAGCCAGGATTTTTCAAAGGGGGGGTCACAGAGGCTACTCACCAGATTGTCATGTCGACCTCCACGCCCATATTAACTAAAGGCAAGAGCCGTTGACGAAAATACTTCACAAAAAAACAAATTTTAAAAAGGTGGGCTTTTCAACAATGGCTTTTACGGCCAAGATATTGTCATGCGTTTTCGCTACCTGAATATTGTAGGTTGTTTGCTCGAAAGAAGGCCTACCAAGGGGGGGTCACGGGCACCCCAGGACCCCCCCCCCCCCTAGCTACGCCCCTGCTATTCTTTATGCGGCAGCTGGACACATTGTTATAACCTAGCCTGTTACAGGTTATCAGTTAGTTGGGACAAGAGGAAAACAGCGAGTGCAGGAAAAAAAAAACTGAAAAGGAGGGTGCCTGCCTTTCCCCAGTCCTCCCCCGTTTTTCCTTGCGTTTGCTCGTCCCAACAACCCCAGGGCCTGGGCCAGGTTGCAGATAGGAGTGCTCTTAACTTTTGTTCTGTAACAAACCTACTGTTTTGAAATAATAGTAACGAGTTTCCTTAATCTTAAGATCTTTTTGCAACCAGACCCTGGAAAGTGCTAGTTCTAGTCCTACGGTGTAAAAAGATAGCGCACATGCACAACATACATATCTAACCATCGGGAACCAAGAACGAGAAGTCCAACTAGTACTGCAAAGCTGATTCAGAAGAACGTGTATTGTTTTTTCATAACAATATTTGGGCTGGCCATACCAGCCTTCTTCAGCCTTCTTCACCTGGAGAAGGCTGGTATGGCTAGCCGAAATATTGTTATGAAAAAACAATACACGCTCTTCTGAATCAGCTTTGTAGCAGTCTTTGGACTTCTCGTTCTTACTTCTTTATATTTTGGCTGATTTGATCTCTTTTCTAGAGATCCAACGTTTACAACTAGCAGGATCTTCGTCCACGGTTTTTGCAGTTAATTTAATCCTTTATTGGTAAGGTTGTTCTAGTTTAGTTTAGTTGATGTTGTTCATTTTGCATGTACTTTTTGAGGGGATCCTTGGAAGGGTCCCTGGACCGGATGCATCAAGTGGGCGGGCCCGGGGTCGGTATTTTAGGGTTACCCTGCCGAGGAGTTCCTGCGACTGGCTGGTTGACTTTTACTAGTACAGCCATCCAGTCTGGAGTTTTAAAAAATATGCGAACGACTCATTCTTTCCGCCCGCCAACTTTAGACAATTTACTCACAAACAGTGGGAATATTGCGGCAATCATCACTAATAACCGGTCCAGTGCCTAAAAAGTATTGGACCTGCAATGAAGCAATTTTGTTATTATCCCTAGCCGTAAAGAGGGAAGTTATGGCCCGGGGATTACTCAACAAACTTTTTTACGGGGAAGTTCCGCCACGAAGTCCAACCCCTTACCCTTTTATAAAACATTTTTGACAGGAAAGATGCCTCTTTCAAGTAGCTTTCATTGAAAAATGACCCCCCTGGAATACCTAATTAATATAATAAGGATAAAACGCTGAAACAGAGAGTCACCTTGTCATTATCGCGTGACGTTTAATAAATCAAGAATAGCCATAAGGCGTGTCTTTTCGAAACAATACTCATTTTATAGATTTTCCTACCCTTTCATATACTTTAACTCGGAAATTCCCTACCCTTGGATATGCCTGAAGCCCTCAAGTGGTATCCCATTCAGACGGAGCCTCCACAGGCCATAAAAGGGAGTAGCCCCCCACCCCTCCCCGGGCGTTATGGACCACAAATGATGCGAGACGAGAATGCTACAGAGCGATAAATGTGAAAGAAACGGAAAGAGAAGAGTCGTAAAAACGGTTATATATCATGAAGATCATTTGTGCAGGAATGGGAAAAACTGGGACTAAATCCATTACTAAAGCTTTGCGTCACCTTGGCTTCACTGTCTTTGACTCGGAAGAACAAATCTTTGACTTTATGGATCACTGGGTCGATGTTCTACAAAATGGCGTTCCACTAGATGCGAAACGAGTCTATCAGGATGCTGACGCGCTCAATGATATTCCTGGAAACTTTTTTTGGGAAGAAATACTGCAAGCTTTTCCCGATTGTAAAGTGATCCTGAGCGAACGAGACGAAGATTCGTGGGTGAAGAGTATGGTGAGGCAACTTGAAGCGGTCACGGCTGCGAAATCACGTATAATGTCGATGCTGTCGCCAACTATGAAAAATATGTATTTCGTCGGAGATTCTCTTATTGATGCGTTAGTCGGCACTCATAATAAGAGGTCCATCTGTGTTCTCAGAAAGTGCTATCGTTTGCACCAAGACCATGTGAAGTCTGTTGTTACCCCTGACAAGCTATTGGTATATAATGTAAAACAGGGATGGAAGCCATTGTGTGATTTCTTGGGGTGTGAGGTGCCAGAGGTTGCCTTTCCACATGAAAACATTAATGCAGAAGTTGTTCAAAAATTAGTGTCCTTGGAGATGACAAGATTTGGCAGACAAGTGAAATGGGAACTCTGGAGAGCTGTTCTTGTCATCACCACCGTTTTTGTAGCAGTTGTTGCGTCATTTTTCATTTGCTACTTTTATTAATTAACTAACGTTACCGTATCAAGGGTCAAAATTTGTCTACTACGATCAAATCTTTGACTACCATTTTTTTTCGCTAGATTGGCAGTTTAGTACTTGAAGTACATGGTGTGCAAATTATAGCTTCATACGGTTAAGGAAAGTGGTATTTTTTGGCGCTCAAAAACCATTAATTTTCGTCCGCCATTAAAACGCTATGTTCCTGTGGCCCGGTTACGAAGAACACAAGGCAATTTGCTTTGTGACGTCATTTACTTAACGCGGTACACACAGCATGACAATTTTCTTCCAAGAACCCTGCTCAAGAATATTCCCTTTCCTCCCACTTCGATGCGTTCTTGTTTAGGAAGACTCTTTCGATCTTACTACATTAGGCTCCGTATGTGTGCAGCAACAACGGGGCTTTCAACGGAAACCAGTGGCGGAAAATTAAACTTGGATCGTTTGCTAGCATATGGAAGAAAGATCAATCGACAGATCTTGAATCCGGAAAGAAATCTTCGCATAAAGAGGGAGCGCATGGAGGTAAGCTTACAGTTCGCAAAACTGGCAGTGAATGTCCCCAACGCTAAGTTTATTTATATCGCCGGTGGTGATTTTTGCTTTTACTACTGGCGAAGTCATCGAAGATAAATTTTTTCTTAGACCTTTCTTCGACTGGAACGCGACGACTACGAAACTTTTAGGAAACTTTCAAAAAGATTTGCCCTAAGGCAACATATCACAGAGAGCCCTCTAGTTTTGTAAAAACTTTTGTACTATTTTTTCTGTTACCACTATTAACATTCCTGTGAGCTTTTATAAAAAGCTTTAAAGCTCTATTTGTAAATTTTTATTATAAAATATTAAAATCTATCAGGATCATGGTGCAATCTGAATGGTATGATATTTTAATATACAGTAAATTCCTTAGTATTTCCAACATTCTGGTCGCCATAACCCTCACTAAACAAAAGGTATGCTTTTTTCAATTTTAATTTTCCAAAAACTCAGAGCCTGATTTAAACTGCACAGACACATTGTCAGTTCAAACCACAAGCTAAAGCAAGAGAGCCCACACAAGTTTATTGCAAAAACTGTTTTTGCCATTTTGTAAAATACAGCAAGAATTCTTACCATTTACTGATGTGGTCTTTAAAATAAAATTGTGATCCTGTCTTGAATGTTGTGTATTGTTATTCTTTTGAGTGAATAACGAAAAGTTTTGCAATCTCGCATTGAATACTTATAATAATTATAATTATAGTATATCATAATTTGCGATGTAAACTCCAACACAGGGGCACTCATGCACTGAATCACTGAAGTGATGTGACTGACAGATTGCAAGTTAAAAATGAATAATCACCAAGGCTTGGTCACTGAAATATTTGCTGCAACTGAGGGTTATGTACATGTATGAGATAGTTTCATGGCCCTTGCTCATCACTGCTGGTTTATGTTTCACTACTCAAGGTTGTGCTCTACCAGCACCCAGTTGGCCCATGGTGCTTAACTATTGTTCCGGGGCAACTAGGAAATTTTTTCATATAAATCATGTGCTGGACACCCAGGATTTCACTGGTCCGGAGCACTGGGCTCCTTTCAATTTTTCTTAGAGCACAGCCTTGCTACTTCAAAAAACCTTGGTGTATCTTTTAATATGGGATAGACTAATGTTATTCGTATAAATGAGGAAGCTTCATGGCCCCTTACCACATACAAAGATACTGTCCACCCTACTGTAACAATAATATGCACACTTGTTGATCACAAGATAAATGTGAGGCCCCAGCTAAGAACCTGGAGGACAAGTTTAGGTCTTACGTACCGTGTGCAATATACAAATCCATTATTTTTTAGTCATATCAGTGATTACAATAAACAAGTCAAGGGCTGTAATAATAGTGAACTTACGCAACAGGACGGGAGAGGAAAGAAGACGGCAAACCTTGTGTGACAACCGTGACAACAATTTTGTTTGAAATAACTTTTCGCCAAACATCACGTTCTTTTAAACAGATCTTTTTGTAAAAAAAAGAAAACATTAACGCTAAGTGAAGATCACGACATAACATGCGAGTAATAACCCTGTCACGTTTGTCACACACAAACATTTTGCCGTCCTCTTCTTCCTGCCGTCCTGTTGCGTAAGCTCACTA